CAGCGGACTCCATAGTCGAAAAAGAAAAAGACAGAGTAATCTTTGTTGACCTCTAGCAATTTTTCCTGACTTTATTATTGCGTTTATATATGCTTTCTCCCATCTTTTGCTTTTCCAGGATCGGCGCATGGGGGAAATAACAAAGACGCTCAATTTACTGCTCAATTCGCTCGAACCAGGCTTTCTGTTTGACTTTTTGAGCAAATGGTTTGCAAGCCTCGTTGAAATGGAGAAGCCGTCTTCAGAGAAAATTGCACAGTTTGCGAAAGTGAGTTAATTTGTTTCGAAATCGAGCAAAACTTGCAGGTTTGCAAGATGGGCAGTCATTGAGCCTCTCTGCTTTTTATATTGTCAATTTAAGGTCGTCGAGTTTTGTTTGAAGACCTGCAATCTTGACGGGGATCCCGATTTGCGCGCTAAGTTTCTACCCCATTTGCTATATTCAATATTAAATAAACTCCACGACGATGAGAAGCTCGTATTGATCGAAATTGATGCACTGCTTCAAGTAAGTGCATGTTAAAATCAAAAGCGCTGCGTAACATCTAATTTGAGATTACGAGTGTCTGCAGCAACTTATTGGAGGAAATATCGCAAAGTGGTGCTGTGGAAGCAAAAAGTATGTGCTGTTTTCGAGCCTTCCCAGTTCCTAATTATCTATTTTAAGTGCCTAATGGAGATATATCGGAAACATCCTCGAATTCCAGCCCCAAGAAAGTTGCTAACGTCAATGCTGTAGTAACCGACGCTATCGAGAAAGGTTCGCGCAGCTACTCTCGAACTTGCTCTGATAACTGCATTGCTTTTTCTGAAGACATAAGTGAAATTCTAGAGCAAGAGCTTATGGAGTCTTGCGTAAACGAATGTCTTCTGCTGCTGGCTAGCGTTTGCCGTGTGTACGTTGCCAGACGCACAGCCATGCGATTTCCACTTCTCATCGACGTATGCAAACTGACATCGCAGTTCCTCGATTATCCACTCTACTGTTTCCTGCTCGATCATCAGGATGATGAAGAAGTACCTGGTTGGCTTGTGGACGTGCTGAAGGTATGTGTCACTGAAATTTCGAATAATCAGTCGGGAATCCTTACAGATCATGTTCATATTCATGTCTGTATTCGTTTCAGGTCATTGATGCAGACAGTTGGATTCAGGAAATGAGCTCCTCTCAGGTAATCCTTCTTGTTATGATTTGGGCTATATAAACATCCATATCGTTGATCTTATTTATCATGCTTGTGCTCCAGCAGACAATGGACACAACTGATTTATCTGCGAGGACAGCAGTTTTAGACCTCGTTCTTTCCATATATACGAAATGTGCTTCTGTGTTGTCTCAACACGAGGCGATTCGTGGCAGAATGGCAGAGTGTCAGGCTGCTGTGATAGAGTAGGTTACTTTTCTATATACATGTCAGGAAAGTGTATGTCTTCAATAATTTTTCTATCTAGATCCGAAGACAATCCGACCACTGTTTTGCTGAAGCCGTTACTTTTTTCCACTCAGTTGAACAAGCTTGAGAGAGACGGGTTTTTCGAGGTGAGCAAATATTTTGTTAATTAACTTTGTTTAGAAACCTGTGTTTAATGAGGGCCTGGAATACAAATTTTCACTTCATAATTCGCGTCTAAAGAGTTGCTATCGGTTGATCACATCTTTGTTCTAAAATAATACAGGGTGTCCCAAAAAATGTGACACTGTTTGATCGTCGATAACTCTCTTACTTTCATGTCTTCCGCCGAGCATTAGGTACCATTTTGTAGAGCGAGATTCAACTTAGACTTACTGTGTGAAGCGAATCACCAATCACGCTTCATTACTGTAAAATTACGGTGTGAACTTTCAGCATACAGCGCTACTGTAGAATAAACCTTTTGGTGAAATTCCAAAAAATCTGGTAATTTGTGCAGCTAGGTTTTCCGGCGTGCTAATCCCACTACTCAATTTTTTACCAGTTTTTTGAGTCTTTTTAATGTTGTAATCACGCTTCTGACGAACTTTGGTGAAACAGCTGTTACCCTGAACCTAAGATAACTTATGAAAAAAGCATTACAGTGAAGTGCAAATTTCATATCTAGAATCAGCGATTTCGATTAGTTTAGTACAATAGTTTCTGGTTTGTTTGGCTTTCTTCTGAGGCAAAAATCGCTTTCAATCTCCTAAATCATCAAAGTTTCTACCGTCATTCTACAGTAATGAAGAGCAATCGACGATTCGGTCTATACTGTAAATCTAAGTTGAACCTCGCTCTACGAAATCGTACCTTAAGCTCGCCGAAAGACATAGAATCAAGAGAGTTATCAACGACCGAACAGTATGCACATCTTTTTGGGACCCGTGTATATCAGCAAAGCACTTCGTCATTTGTCTCATTTCTATTGGGGCAATTGTCGACGTATTTTTAGCGCATTAGTTGCTGTCTCATTTGCCCACTAATTTCTGCCTAATGCTATAGCAATAGTATAGTAGAAGAATTTAGCAATGTTTATAAATTCTTGTACTATACTATTGCTCTATTTTGTTTCGTTTTTGAAAGCATTTGTATGTTGTCACTGGAAATATCATTCATCCTTATCATCGCGTTGAGTACGATAGTATTTGATATAACTATGATGTGATTTTTCCCACATATAGCTTTGCAATAGGCATGTTTGCTATTCTTCACGCCATATAATTTGACATACCTATCTTATTTAGAACTGCGGATACGCCGTATGGCATGGACTTGGCCTGCCTTGGTGTACATATGAACATGCAAGAATGTCACGTTTGATGGCCATCTTACATTCGAGGAAGCCTAACGAGCCGAGCAGCGACATGGAGAACATCATCGTTTCAGCTCTCACTAGCAGTGATCCGGTATGTCTATATATCATTAGTTCTGTGAAATTAGTTTGTTTTCTCTTTGTACTAAGAACATCATACCTGTTGCCTAGTCTTTCATTATCCATTGGGTATCAATAAGGCATGCTTTTCTAATATAAAACTAAAGCTATTAGGCGTATGAGAACCAGATTTTGAACTTCACAAAAAATAGGTTTTTCATGTAGCTTATGATTTAGTGCGCCTAATCCGCAGATAGAGTGTTGATACGTGTTTCCTTCTGTTTGAGACCACTATCGTTATGTTAAGAATTTCTGCGACGAACAGATGTCACCTATAATGCTGTTTCAAAAAAGCATAGTTTGCAGATGATAAGTTCGGAAGCTGCCCAGACATTCCATCGGATGTGGATGCTGACACGCACTGGTGACGATCAACCATCTCTGTGTA